GATTTTTTTTTTTCTATTTTAAACAAAAATACTTTATTTTAATTAAACAATTTTGGGGCATTGTTCAAAATATAACTATTATGCCTCTATACATAATTCAATCGTAAAGATGTTTTAAGGTGTTAAAAATATCACAATATATAGAAAAAAGAAGTATGCATATATATATGCATATACACACACACACACACACACAATACAATGGCCCAGACTTTGAGCAGGCAAGTAGATGGTTTATAAGAATGACTAACTCAACAGAAGTCTGTCTCTCATCTCTGCTGTTTGGTTTTAGTTTTCAATCTGTCCTTTCATTATCTCTGGACCTCTTTTTCATACTTTAAATTTGTTAAACAGTTGGGCTCTCTCACATGATTTCTTTTTTATTTCTTCCTTCTTTCCTTCCTTCTGCCCACCTATTCATGTTAAGGCTTCAGGTGAGTTCTTCCCCAATAAAAACAAACAAACAAAAAACACTTTTATGAATCTTACCATTGGGTCACCAGAAAAGTCATGATATACTTTTCTATGTAAAAATGCATCATGACTTTTCCAATGACCTAATAAAAACCATGTATTTTTTTCTGAGCCTATTATAAGTATTTATTCTTCATAACATTCCTATGTTTTGGGTAATATTAGGTTGTCAGAAAAGTCATGATGCATTTTTACATAGAAAAGTATATCATGACTTTTCTGAAGACCCAATATTATAGTCTCTATTGTATAGACAAGGGAACTCTCACAGAATTTTTTAGTGATCCTGTTTCCATGTCCTATGCCCAGGTAAAATCTGAATGGGAGGCTGGAGGCAAGTATAAGGTAAAGACAACAGCCTTTGCCTTTGATTCTGTTACTTACCTCTTGGGCTATGCTCTGGGTCTGAAGTGGGCAGTGGAGCTATGCAATCAGGGCAGTTTTGTCATAAAACACGCAAGGGGTTCACTCTTAGGCATGACCTTCCCTACTCCATGGGAATCCCAGAACCTTTTCCTACCTGGCCTGCAGTCTGATGCACTAGTGTGCATGTACTCGGAATATGTGTGATATTTATTCCATAGCTTTGAAGCAGAGTACAGTGGCAAAAACACAGGCTTACAACTTGGCGAGACCTGGGTGTGACTTCTGACTCTGCCACTTATTATTTGTGTGATCTTGGGCAAGTCGCTTAATCACTTGGAGCTTTTTTCTTAGCTATGAAATGAAAAAGAGGATGATGAAGATAGTAAAAACTGAAGATAGAATGAGATGTTGAACTTGAATTCTTCATCCAGTGATTTGCACCCACAAATGCTCAATACATGTTAGACACTTTTGTAATTATTAATATTCAAGACCGATATATATATATATAAGATAATTTACTCTTTGGTACTTGTGTAGCTTGTATGACTGAATTTTGAGAACCCAGAAGAATTTTAGTCTTTATCTAGAAACTTAGTAGTTGTTTTGAATCTTGATGTTAATTTTATCATCTTTATTTCTGGCCTTTAATGAGCCCTTGGAATCACTTTCATCCTGAAAACTTAAGTTTTGGTGTCCAAATGTCTAATTGGCCTTGTGCGAATGCCAGCATTCCTTTGAGGTCATTGGCAAAGCCTGGTACTGGAATCCAGCTTTACTTAGACTGTCAGTTTGAGTTTTCCTCTTCCAGAGTGAATCTTTATGCTGTGGCTATTACATAGGAGGGCTTGGGGTGGTGTTAGGCCAGATTCTTCACCCCAGGCCTTGAATGGCTGCTCTAGGCACTGAGGCTTCAGTCACAATTTTCCCCCCTCAGTTTCTCAGAGCACAGGATACTGTCTTGAATGATTCTGCTGAAATTGCATGGTAACCTGGCCGGCTCTGTGAGGCAGGAGTGACATTGCATTGGCATGCTTTCACTGTTAAAGACCAAGGCAAGCCCTATGAACCTGTAGGTCTGTGATGGCTCCACATAGCCAAAGTGCCTTCTCCCCTTTAGTCATCTCCTGTACACACATTAAGCCTATGGCAGAAAATGAAGGAGGAGACAGAGAGACCCTTCAAAGCCAAAGGAAGAAAAAAGGAGCACCCCTGACTCTTCATCTGAGGTCATATTTGGGAGAGAGGAAGGGAAAGAAAATCTGATATAAAGCTGCAAAAGAGATATGAGTTTGGAGTCTAGATTCAGATAAACCTGAGTTTGACTTCTGACTCTACTCTCTCTCTTTTTTTAATCATCATTTTTATTGCCAGAGGGAGACAAAGATACAGAAAGAGAAGGAAAGATAAAGAAAACTTCTTAATGGGGTGTGGTCATGCTCAAATCCTTTTTCCTGCACTCCTCCATCATGTTGGGATTTGGGGCACTCACATATGCTCTGGATGTGTTTTTGAAGCCACAGGAATTGCGATTTGATCCATGGTAGACAACGTAGGATCCGGCTCCCTTAACCACTGCCCTATGGACCAGCCTTCTTTTTCTTTTAATTGCCACAGGGTGTGTGCACTTGCCAGAGACAGATAGAGAGGGAGAGGGAGAGGGAGAAAACATTCCCCCACCATGGGCCATTATCATGCCGCCAGGGCTGAGGCTCTAACTGTTGTCTGCCATGTGGGATCTGGCTCCCTTTAACCACTAGGCTAAGGGGCTGACCCATTATTTTTTAATTGTATGCATTTCTTTCTTCCATCAGTGAGAGACAGAGTGGTTGTGAGAGAGAGAGAGAAAGAGAGAGAGAGAGAGAGCGCAAGCACACTCGCATTCCTAACAGGGTCTTGAGGCTGTGATATATGCCCAGCCTTAGCTAACCCTGGCATGGGCACATATGTGCCCAGAGTACTCAGGGAGGTCTCTGGATGTGAACCTTGAACCTTCCCTTATGGATCAACCTTACAGAGCATCATGTGTTACTGTTGTACCACTGACTGGCTTCACTGGCTCTATTATCTTATATGTGGCACTGACTTCTGAACCTGTTTCTTCATCAACAAAATGGGTAAAATCCTTGTGCCTACCTCAGAAGATTGCTGTATAAATTAAGCAAGAGTGTTCATGTAAAACAGTTAATTATATACTTGCCTGGAATATATTAAGTGCCCATCATCATCATCGTTGAGGCTTTGGTGACAAGAACAGTAGGAAACAACAGATGGGAGGAAATGAAAAGCAATCTGGGTTCTTCCATGACATTCCCTGGGGTCTGTTTGTCAAGTTGCTTAATCTTACACCAGATGCACCTGTGAGCTCCAGGATAGCTCTGAGAGATGGCTAAAGTCCTAGGGAGTCTTCATCATGTCAACTGCTTTCACAGTCAGGGCATAGGAAGTAGCGTGGTATCCATGACTGCTCTGTGTATCTGTGTGTGTGAGAGAGAAAGACAGACAGAAACCCAGTTAGTGTCTTGAGGTCTAAGAGGCATGTTGACTAAATGGTGACTGTCCACGATGCATGAAATAGTTTTTTTCTTCAAGAGGAACAGATTGTCGCTCTTTGTGTCACATGGTGAAGGAAGCTGCTTCAGTCTCCCACTCCCCATAGCCATCACAAGCAGGTGTGTGTTGCTGAAGTCATTGCTCCTGACTTATGAATGGTTTTGGAATTGGGAAATAGTACCAATACCCGATGCTCGAGACCAGGGTTTTCTTCATCTTATTTTTCTTTTTTTGTTTCTTCTTTTAAGTCACAGAGCCCAATATGTAAAATAGAAATCAAACAAAGCCTGGCAGATTACCACTTTTTTCTCCCCACCTCCCACAGTAGCTCCTGAAGACATTTCTAAGAAAGTGGAGGAACCAGCAGTTAGTGTAATGGCTATGTCACTGGACTCCCACGTAGTCGACCGTGGTTCGCGTCCTGGACCCGGTGGCTTAAAACTCACGCCAGGCGCATGTGTGTGCGTGCCCAAGATCCCGAGAGGAGAATGGAGGAGAAGGGATTGTGGCGTGGCCATCCCCCCTGGGGGGTGATTTCTCGCTTTCTGTCTCTATGTCTCTCTCTGTCTGTCTGGCGAGCGCATGCGCCCTATAGCAGTAAACCTCTCCAAAAAAAAAAGAAAAAAAGAAAGTGGGAAAACAGTTTGCAAAACACTGCAGTCTGCTACCTGGGTTGTACCAGCATTTTTTTTGTCCAGGTCTCTGTTTGGGGAATAGGGTTGGACAAGGCTGTGTAAGTAAGCAGCCATCCTATAATAAATAGGTTTCTTCTGTAATAAGAGGGCACTTAACTACCACAGTTCCCCTTTCTAATGCTGCCGACCAAGCTGCAGCAGTCAAAGCTGTTGATGGGGGCTTGCAGAATGTTTAGGGAGCACAGAGCTCATTATATAATGAAGTGTTGGAACCAAAGCATGTTCAGGAAGTGTTCAGGGGAATTCTGAGCCAGCAGGGTGCTCTTCAGAACATTTCAGCTAATACAAAATATGCTACTTCTAATTTATTTTGCCTTTGTGCAAACTCTAGTGCTGTTTTCCTCAGGATGCAACTTGTATGAATACTTCTCTCCCATATGGCTTGGTTTTGTCTGACCCATTTATTTTCTACCTTTGCATCTGAGTCTGACTGTAACCTGGATTTCATCTTTATTCCCCTCTAGGCTACAGATGCACATGTTGAATGGAGCTCTTCTGGCATTGCTGTTTCCTGTGGTAAATACTCGGCTGGTAAGTAGATGCTTCTAGGAATGTACCAGTACCATAGAAAACAGTATTTGCCCACTGTGTCATCATCTAGTGCTTGTCCTCCTTAGTCCATATTATGGCTAGATCATTTAAAACACACAAACACATACATATACGGCGACTTCACAAAGTTCATGGAAAATAGAATTAAAGTATGTGTCCATTCTGGCATAAAAAATTAGAAATCCTTGCATAGTTGTTTCTTTATCTTTCTTTTTTAAAAAATTGCAGGAGACCAGCAGTTAGCGTAATTGATATGTCGCTGGACTCCCATGTAGTAGACAGCAGATCACGTACCGGACCCGGTGGCTTAAAACTCATGCCAGGCGCGTGTGCATGTGTGCCCAAGATCCCGAGAGGAGAATTGAGGAGAAGGGATTGCGGTGTGCCCATCCCCCCTGGGGGGTGATTTCTCACTTTCTGTCTCAATGTCTCTCTCTGTCCGTCTGGCGAGCGCACACACCCTATAGCGAAAACCTCTCAAAAAAAAATTGCTAGAGGGCATATCCATGGGCACAAAGAGAGAGAGGAAAAGGGGAAAAGCACCCCTTCCCCCATGGGGCATGGTCATACCAACAATCTCTTCTCTATTTTCCCACTTTGTTGGGATTTGGGTCACACAGACACACATTCTAAGCTGCCAGATCCGGGACTCTAACTTTATTGTAAGCCATGTGGGATATCTTTAATCACTAGACAATAGAGCCATCCTCATAATTTTTTCATGATATACATTTTCTATGAAAGTTTTGAAGATCCCCCTCATATTAGGTTATCAGAAAAGCCCTGCATACTTTTCTATGCAAAAATGCATCATGACTTTTCCGACGACTCAATGTATGCATATATATGATATGTGTGTGTTTGTGTGTGTGTTTCTGTATAGTTAATGTTGAAGGCTGATACTGTCCTGTTAGCATGCAGTGGAGTTTGATGGAGCTGGGAATACTTTGTAGAACTCTGGGGCTGCAGTAAGGGTTTAGACCAGAATGAGGATAGATCAAAAAAACCTACAGAAACTCTTGGAGAGGTTTGGTGGAAAGATAGAAGGGTTCAGGCCCCACTCATTAGACGTTTCCAGGTGTTCTAAGGGGCTCTTTTGTAGATTCAGTCCCATTGACTTAGAATAATCTTCTGGAGAGCCTCAATGCCTGTCCACTTCATCAAAGGCCCTCTTGGGTAAGAATTAGATTCTTTATCCTTTCATCTAATCCCACAGTGCAGTATGGGCCAAACAAAGCCTCAGTGGCTAGCACGGAGAATCCCACTGTGGTAGGGGGCCAGGCAGTTGAAACAACCAACTTTGAAGGAAGCAGGAGCTCCCAGGCTGAGGTCACAGGACTCTATCCTTAGACTCCACATGTGGGGGGGGAGAGGGATTAGCAGGCCACATTAGAAAGCTCAGAGAAAGATGTCACCTGTAAAATTGTTGCTACTCCTTTCTATTTTCATGACTTAAATTTTCCTTGTACATTAAGATCATATTGAATACTTTAAATATCAAAATAATAATCCTTCTTTTTGGATGGAATTTCAGAGTTTATAAGGTCTTTTCACAGGATGGTTTTGTAAGGTAGATAGGGCAAGTATAAAGGCTCCTAGTTTTATAGAGGAGAAAACTGATATTCAGGGAGTCATACACATTCTCAATGACAGTTAGGACTGGGAGCCTAAGCCTCTTGATCCTAAAACCACAGCTACGCTTTGCTTCCTCTGAAGATATATTTAGTTATTCCCTCTCCCAAAATATTCGTGCATGTTCATATGGTGGTTATACTTGAATGCATATTATACATCTGTAGAAATTAAAAGAGAAAGCATTTGGGACCAGCAGTTAGTGTAATGGCTATGTCGCTGAACTTCCATGTAGTCCACCATGGTTCGAGTCTTGGACCCGGTGGCTTGAACTCACACTGGGCATGTGTGCATGTGTGCCCAAGATCCCAAGAGGAGAATGGAGGAGAAGGGATTGTGGTGTGACCATCCCCCCTGGGGGGGGATTTCTCATTTTCTGTCTCTCTGTCTCTCTCTGTCTCTCTGGCGAGAGCACGCACCCTATAGAAAAAAAAAAGGAAAGCATTCTCACCTAAAGCAGCGAGTCTGCACCCTCACTGTGCTCCAGGCTCTCCTAATTAGTGTGATTTAATCATTCCATGATATAAACACATATCAAAACATCACACTGGGGACAGCTTGGTGGTACAATGGCAGCACGTTGTTCATGTGATACTGGATCCATGGGAAGGACTGCAAGTTCGGTTTCTTCATCCATCTGCACATGGTTGTGCACACATCTATGATCCTAGCCAGCTGGGAAGGCTGGGTGGGAGGGGATAGAGTAAGACTCTGTTGCATTTGCTTATCTTTCTCTGTGTCTCGCCCACTCTCCCACTCCCCACCATCTCTCATTCTCATTGAAAGAAATTGTACATAGACTTAAGAAAAAATCATCACTTTGTACCTCTTAAATATGTACAACTATTTATCGATTTAAAAAAATAAAATTAAAAGTCAACCCCATAGCCTAGTGGAAAAGGGAGCCTGAAAAACGTGCCAGGTGTGTGTGTATGTGTGTGTTTGTGTGTCTGTGTGTGTATCCCCAATCCCGATGTAATGAAGAAATGAAGAAGAAGGAATTACATATGACCATGCCCCATTGACGGGTGCATTCACCCTCTCTTTCTCTCTCTGTCTCTGGCAAGTAAGACATAAATTGAAAACAAGCAAACTTGCAAAAAAGCAATTGCATTCCCGCACCCTAGAGAATCTGAATTTCTGATCTGTGATGCAGGCTAGACATCAGGTTTTGACAAGTACCCAGGGTGATTCTAAAGTGGAGTGGGAGGTGAGAACCACTGATTTCATGCAATGACCCTGAAACATAATGTTCATAGTCATCACCCAAGGAGTTTGTTAAAAAATGAGACTTGCAGGTGCCAGCCAGTGGCATGGAGTTATGGAGTTTAGAGTAGCTAGATCCAACATAGTTGACTGTACAGTTCAAGTCTAAGACCCAGTGGCTTTGAAAACATACCAGGTGCATGTATGCACATGCCCAGTGTCTTGTTTTTTTTTTTTTTTTTTTTTTTTTTTCTTTAGGGTGGGGGTTCTCCCAGAGAAGACAAAAGCAGACAGACAGAGAGAGAGACAGAAAGTGAGAAATCACCCTCAGGGGGGATGGCCATGCTCCAGTCCCTTCTCCTCCATTCTCCCCTCGGGATCTTGGGCACACACACACACACACACGGTGTGAGTTGTAAGCCACCAGGTCCGGGATGCGAACCGTGGTCGACTGCTGGGAGTCCAGCAACATAGCCATTACTCTAACTGCTGGTCCCATGCCCAGTATCTTGATAGGAGAAAGGAAGAGAAGAGACCGCGGCATGGTCATTTCCCCTGGGGAGGTGATTTCTCACTTTCCCTCTTCTCTTTCTCTGTCTCTCTCCAGTGAATGCATTGTGTCCTATAGCAAACCACAAACAAACAAAAATACACACAAAAAAAATTAGACTTGCTAGGCCCTATCCACAGAAGGTCTGATTGTGAGAATCTGGGGTGATGGCTAGGAATGAACATGTGTAACCAGTCCCCATGAGATGTCAATGCAGAGGTCCTCAGACCACTTTTGGACTATCAGTGTCCTAGGCATATAAAAATTAAAACTACTCCAAATGTGTAATGAGGCCTAGCATTGCATGGGTGGTGCTTATTAAAAATGCAGAATTTCATGTCCCACCTCAGACCTACTGCATCAGAATCTACATTTTAACTGGTGGCCCCAGGTAACTTCTTTGGCCCAGACACTTTCTTCCAAGAAAAACAAAATACCTTATAGATAGAACATTGGAACTCCTGACGAGGAGAACATTCAGGTTGGGGGCCGGGGGGCAGGGGGGGAGCAGGTGATGCCGTTCTGTCTTATTTGGTAGCAGAGTACATTCAGTTCAGCATTCTCCATGAGATGGCATCCACAGGCACAGACTGCTGACAGAGGTAACATTGCTTTGCCTTCTCCATTTCTCCCATGTGTGCCTTGCCTGACTTCACTGGCTTGGTGAACTGTAGAATCAGAACTCTTGCATTAGTCTCAAAGCTAGAGGGGATAAGTACCAGTGAATAGTAGAAATAAACCAAATATTAAAAAAAATAAAATAAACTGGAAAAAAAAAACTAATTTTGCCCATCACAGCATTATTTCTTACTGGATATGCAACTGTGTTGGAGCACAAGTTACGAAGTGGATCCAGTGCTGTTTTATCATGTCTCTGCTCACTTTGTTCTTATTTTCTCAGGAAATTGAGAGGTCAGGCAGATAAAGAGCTGCTTTCAGGGCCACCAGGTGGCATAGTTGTTAAGGTGTTGTACTCGCATATGGCCGACATAGTAAGAGTCCCAAAACCAGAGGCTTCAAACTCATGCCAGGCATGTGTGCGTGTTTGTCCAGAATCACGAGAGGGGGATGGAGAAGGGATGGTGGTGTGGCCATCTCTCCTGGCGAGTGATTTCTTGCTTTCTGTCTCCCTGTGTCTCTGGCAAGCCCATGTGCCCTATAGCAAAAATCTCTCTCGAAGAAAAAAAAAAATAGAGTTGCTTTTTTCATTTCAGGAGCTGTATCAGATTTCAGGAAGAGGAAGCACATCAGAAAATTGCTTTTGGGCTAGCAGAGTTGTGATTTTGAGTTTGAGTGCTTCCAGTCTCCAATTCTGGCCAGTCTGGGCCATCAGTTGAGGTGCATATGGTTTCTCTGGACAGGTCACCTTCAGCTCTGTTCCTCAGTAGGAACCAAATTGCCTTTTCCTTGCAGTCATTGAGCACAAACAGAAGTTATGATTCCCATTGTACGATCCTGCAAATAAAGGCCTCAAAGTGCCCAGTCACATAGTTGAGGTCAGGTAGAAAGCTGGCAGTGCAGTTTTCACTAATTAAGATCATCAAACCCAAGGTTTATATCTCACTAGGCCTGCTGACGGTGCCTTAGCCCC